AAAAATTAATAATTTCGTTTTCGTTTTCTAGATATTCGTCGTTTTCTTACTTCGCGTAAAGACCTCATTAAATCTTTGTGAAAATTGTGTCACAGTTTACCCCTTTCACAACAATCGTGCCTTTCCCTTGATAAATTAGAACGTGCTCGTTAAATACCGCTTATTACGTTAGTGTAAAATTGAAGCGGAAAGTAGAGGACATATTTCGAGTCTGCTTCAAAAGAAAGATGAAGTAGATTAAAAAATTGAAGTCATATCTACTGAAACTACACTCTTTTGTGAAATTTTGTTTTAAATAGATGATAGGGATTGCATGTAAACCAAAAAATATTGCAAGATAGTTTTTTTAGCCTAGCACAATATACCTTTGAGTATCAGGTTACATAACATTGGATTATGTAACCTGATAGCGCTATTTCTGTTAGCTTATTGTTTATTATCTAATTTAAGATAAACCACTGTCACTGATATTCTATCTGCATTTGAAGATTTCAACGATGTTGTTGGCAAAATTACATATGAAAATTCGAGTGTATAAAGGTACATTTTATTACTAGTTTTCTTAAACTGGACTTGTTCAGAATATTTTTAAACGTCATTAAGGAACTGGCAAACGATTGGTAAAGCGGCGGCGAAAATTAGCTCAGTTAGAAAATACAGTAGCGATATTTGATACATCTGGTTTTCTGAAAAATCCCGTAAATGCGTCATTTTATATTATGCGTTATCACAATGGTCTTTATAACGCCCCTCACCCGCTATTGTATGTATACGCGAAACGTCGACGCCGGTGTCGCGTCGGTTGCGTCGTGAGGCTATGGTGCGTGGCAAAGCAACGTGAAGGCTACCAAACAAACAAGTCGCTCGCTTTTAGATACGTTTACGAACAGATATGAAATACATGTAGCCTCATTCCTGCTTACCTTCCTCCCTACCTACACGCAATTTCGTGAATATATTATCTACACTTATTAGTCACTGTCGAAAACAACAGCTGTAATAAGTTATAAAATGTGGGCATAACGTACGAAATGTATTAAATTTTGCGAAAACTAAACAAAGATGCTTTCGTGTAACATCAACTGTGTAATAAAATTTCGGTTTAAACCGTAACAACTGAAACGGTGGCTTCGTTTTGTAATTTTATCGTTTGACCATGTTTATGTAGGGTTGTCTTCCATGTCACAAACCTAGAAATTGCGTTCAAAAGTTAAATAAGGTAATTATTGTGATATACGAATAAGGTACAATTTTTGTATCTCAACAACCCTTAGCACAAAAGATACATGTACAATGTGACCTATTTCCGAACATCTGTTGTGTATTGCACATCAGACCTGTTTTACTACCATGGATGACCATATCCATAGGCCTACACTGATATCGTAAAAGCTACAATACAAGAATATTTAAAGTAGATCAAGATTTCAAATTGTTGGTCCTTATCGGCACGGCATACGTATTAGAGAGCAAATTAAAGTTATCCCCATGCAATCAAGGTTATTAATATCAAGTAACTGGCAGTTTACCGCCATCTACAGACATTAATTGCTATCATTAGCATTTCACAGTGTTTGATATGTACCTATAACTCTTAGTGTTGGGTGGATAGTTTTCTCTAGCCTCCTTTTAAAAATTGTCAGAATGGGTAATTGTGGAGAGACAGATGAAAAATAAGTAACGAAGGCAGAAGAGGAGTGATGAAATAGTACTGCCCCATCATTTGTCTAAATGATCCAAGGAATTTGTGGTAAACTTGGACTAAAGCAGAACTCGGAATCGGACAGGTGCCTTTTCGAATCGTAAACTATGGATCTAAGACTCTACTTATACGTATAAGTACTTCAAAATATAGAACCGTACACTAAATTACAGCCACTCTAAATTACTGACAGAACTGCAGTCAGCAGTTTGTAAATATCCGGAGATGGATAAGTATAGGATACCCTTTGCAATACATATTACATTATTTTTTATTAAAATTTTACTGTGTTGTGCTAATTATAAAAATAGTCATGAATGTTATTTTCTTTAAAACCAGTATTCCGTCGTCGGTGCTTTTTCTTTTACTCTCGAGTTTTTTCTTTATTCCTTGCTTAGTAGCAGGATCATTCTCAAAATGGAGGATAATTTACCATTGTCTTGAATTTTTAATACGGTTAGTTCCTCGGTTCAATTTCTCATCAAGGCCTTTCTCTCAAACCATTTTTAATTAAGTCTAACATTAATATTTCACAATTACACGGTGGACAATTTTCTTTTTAGCCTGTAATCGAATTGACCTTATCAATTATTTTCATTGAGAGCCATAATAATTTGTCGAGGTAGTCAAACAGGGTGCAAAGGAAACATAATAGCCTTAGATAACAGTACGGGACACAACATAAAAAAACTATATATTTATGCCTATGTAGGTACAACAAAAAGACACCTCAATAAAAATCACTACAAAAAATGTATGTAGACAAGTAGAAGGTAATCTAATGAAGGAAAGAAGAATAATAAATAGACAAGCTAAATAAAATTTCGATAAGGATATCGGAATATAATGTGGTAACTCTGAAACTTTAAGAGTCAAAATCACGAAAGGTTTAAATTAAAAATAAATCGAAGAAGAAAAATTAATAATTTNTAGCAACACTGATACTTGCTTCAACCAACAACTGAAGGACAAATTTTCCATCAAGGTTAAAAAGTATCAATAAGTGAATACAACACAAAACAAATTGTTGTTGTGCATAATCCTTGGAAATAAATAGTATCTTTTATTATTGTACCTTTTTATCAAAAGAAAGTAGGTATCATTTTGTTAATATATATTAAAATTCAATATTGAACTTTTAACGTTCAATGATGAATGTGTATCTATTGTCGAATTAGTGAATGAAGAGCAGAAAATTAGTAGAAATGTTGCAAAATATAAAAGGTACAAAGGGCTTTAAATTCAAATCTGAAGGTAGCTAATTATCAAACAGATCGTTTGAATGCTCCCATATTAATCATTGGGTGCCGAGTGCAATGGTAGTGATATTATTGTTATTGTACAAAATCGATCGCAGCAGTATAGATAAAAGAGAATTAATGACTGTTTTTAAACGAACAGAATTGTACAGACTTTCAGGATTTCATAGAGATTAAGTAATTAAATTAGTCGTTTAAGTTTAGAGTTGTACAATTTCGTATGCAAAATTATCAACCTAACTAAATATATTATTTTAGAACCTATTTATTTGATTAAAATTTTTAAGAATACGCATCCCACTTTAGGAGACTTTTTTTAATTTCCTTTTTTTTCTTCAAGGTAAAAATAAATATTTTTGTAAATATTTTTTGTGTTTTTATAGCTTATGTACAAAAGGATTATAAAAAAAATTCTTATTCCATAAAATAATTAAATAAAAAAAATCGAAATTTGGCAACTTTCTTCTACACATTAGGTATACCTAGCCTTCGAGATCTCCACTGTACAAAGAATATGGTTGACTATGTAATAAACGGACAGACTGACAAATAAATAACCATATAAGGATTTGGACATGAGGGTAAATTCTTTGAATCGATACGCATAAGTGTATATAATGATGTTAGTGTTTTTACACCACTAGCAGTTCTTATAGACAGGAATATTTCGCGTGAACAAGACGGTTCTGCCAATTTTAATTTTGGTTGATGTTGATGCAGTGGACGAAGGAAGTCCGCCGGTGTAGAGGAACATTCGACGGCGCCCAGTCGACAGTGTACTTCGGACGTTGGATATTGAAACACAACCGTAGTAGTTACGTCCAGGTGCTAACGACGTTCCCTTGTAATATTATTACGCAGAATGAGACGGTTTCGGCTTCCTTGGGGTAACGCTTGCTCCTCCTAATTGCTTAAAGCGAAATTGCTCATGCCAATATAGGCAGTTCACCCTTCTTCTTCTTGTCTTTCCTTTCTCTGGTTCCTGCAACTCCTGCTCTAACTGTTCGAATTCGGGATAAATTACGGGAGACCGGATGCCGTCCTTCCTTCCACACCGTTTCGGGTTGAAAATTTGCGTACACACGATTGTTCTGAACAAGTATTAGTTATCGTTGTAATTGGTATTAGGGTGCGTCGGCAATTTAATAGTTTGCAAGACATCCAAGTTCCCATTTCACTGCAGGGACTATCAATATGGTAAGACGCACGAACAACTTACATAATATTGACAGAGTTCTCAAAGCGAAGACATATGTAGCCAATATTTCTTGTGGAATTGAATCTTTTCGAGATCAAAACTAAATTCTTTATAACCGTCCATTAATGGAGCTTTAAATAAGACGACTCGTTACGGTTCTGTCACACAGCTAACCTGGATAAAGAATCAAAGGTTTTAAATATTTATAAAACATTCCCTTACTTGCCGTAGATAGTCAGAAACCTTTCGATGTTTTATCGATTTAAAAATTCAAGTACCTAAAAAAAACAAAATTCAAATGTTCCTAAGTTTTAAGGAGCTACAACAATTATTGTTGTTATCCGAGGAATATGTATAATAATTGTGAAATTTCTGTAAAGAGAAGAAATACTTAACATTATTTTTGAAACCTTATTTATTTGTAAGTTAAGTAAGTTATTCCATCCATACCTATGATTTCATAAAAGGTGTACTATTGAAGGTTTCAATAAAGGATCCCTATGTAAATATGTATATCCTCTTGCAATAAAATACTTTCTTGGCATTTGCCGCACTCAAATTGTTATATTTGGTTTTGCTTCTGAATAAGAAATGACGTAAAATTATTATACACAAACGCACATTATTTTAGAAACTTCTAAAATAGTTTCTACATCTGCTAATTTCTATTGTATATATGCGACATATTCTTCTGTAGGTACTTTACCTCGAAGCCTTTGCTTTCATGTCGTCGTTTTTAAAGCCAATGTTTCCTTTCTCTGCTGTGCTTATTGATTTACAATAATAGTTATAAAGTAACCGTTTTATTGTTTCCTAACCCATTTTCTGTTTTTATTTTCAGATTCGGAACTTGAAGACCTCGAAACACCTCCGCGAAGTCGCCCAGATAGTTTGGAAAGTTTATGTAAAAATACCAAATTTTCTCAACAAGAAATAAAACGTATTTACAGAGGATTTAAGGCAGAATGTCCGACAGGGGTTGTCAAAGAGGATACCTTCAAAGTGATATATTCCCAGTTTTTTCCACAAGGAGGTGAGTTATCTAAATTTTTGTTTGTGGAGCTCATCATTGGGTTACCACATCAGTTACGTAATGTATCACCAATAAGTTTAGATGGATCGTTACAATATTGCTTACAAATCTGAAATCAAATAGAAGACCGCTGCGTTGTCTGTGAGAAAACATGCTAAAGTTATTGCCGTAGAGCCTAAAGATAATCGTGTTCACAAAAATAAACTCATTTTTATGTATTTATTTGTACGGTATTTACTAAATGTATTTTGTCTTCCATTTGTGATCTGTTTTACTTCATTGTTAATTTAAATGGTTATTGTATTTCTATAGAGATACATACTGTAATATAAACCCTTGGTGTTTTCAAACTTTTACTCGACGTATTTGTTCTTCTGAGATTTACTGAAAAAAACATCGATGCAATCGCTTAATTTTCTTAATAACTACTTGCTATCTATTGACTAAGGACAGGATAATAAGTAGGTTGTACATCATTTGCTATTTTAAATATCTATTTAGTTTAATTTAATAAAATTTATTCAAACTTGAGTACATTAATTTTTATTTTTCACGAGCCAATAATGCATAGACTGTTGGTCTATGTCTGTTTTTTATCTTCGATATAAGTACCTATTTGTCTTATCTTTTAGATCTATACTTTGTTAACACGAANATCGTTAATTTAACCGTAACGGTAGAACATCCCGCCGAAGCAGTTTTAGTGTTAGTTCAGTATAATCTATACTCATAACACGCTGCGATGGTCGTTTACTACCGAAAATAAATTCGGGTTTGTTTTTCCTGTAACTGAATATCGCAAACAGTTAGATTTCATTGTCCGTAAAATGGGAATAATTCACTAATGCCAGCGGATCTGCGTTCTATTGTTACTAGTAGAAACGCCGTAAACTTTTACAACCCTTCCGAATTAGATTCATTACATACAACCTCAAAATAACACTCATTACAGCGTACGTGTATGATGCATCTTCTGGGTGACATAATAAAATAATAAACGACTTTCTGTACACACGTTGATCGTGTCCGTCTCTTAAAATATGGCAGCAATGAAATTGTAAATTAGTACATGTGTCCATGTTTACCACAAACTAGTAAACCTAATCGTGTATCTGTACATTTACGAGATATTACGATAAAAAGAAGTATTCAAAAATTAACGCAATTTACTAGAGGGTAAGGCTATCGCAATTGCACTACGAGCTTGGGTTACATTGACTTATGTAGACAACTCGTATTTTTCAATTAAGTATAGAGCTTTCTTTTCTTTTAGAAATTTCTTTCTATTGAAACCATGTAACCTATGCAACTTTTTATAACGTAGGCAACTGGCCGTTATAATAGTGGCGCAAAACTGTTCATGTTTGCGAATAGCTTAAGGTGTATATGAAAGGAGTATTTGATTGCAGATTCAAAGTTGAAGAAGCAAATATATGTAATTGAGTTTTACTTTGGATAATTGAATAATTAATAAAGAATATTGAATTAACCATTGCTTATGCAAAGAAATATTTTATTAAGATTGATGAAAATGTAGAAAAAAAAAAATAGTCATGAATGTTATTTTCTTTAAAACCAGTATTCCGTCGTCGGTGCTTTTTCTTTTACTCTCGAGTTTTTTCTTTATTCCTTGCTTAGTAGCAGGATCATTCTCAAAATGGAGGATAATTTACCATTGTCTTGAATTTTTAATACGGTTAGTTCCTCGGTTCAATTTCTCATCAAGGCCTTTCTCTCAAACCATTTTTAATTAAGTCTAACATTAATATTTCACAATTACACGGTGGACAATTTTCTTTTTAGCCTGTAATCGAATTGACCTTATCAATTATTTTCATTGAGAGCCATAATAATTTGTCGAGGTAGTCAAACAGGGTGCAAAGGAAACATAATAGCCTTAGATAACAGTACGGGACACAACATAAAAAAACTATATATTTATGCCTATGTAGGTACAACAAAAAGACACCTCAATAAAAATCACTACAAAAAATGTATGTAGACAAGTAGAAGGTAATCTAATGAAGGAAAGAAGAATAATAAATAGACAAGCTAAATAAAATTTCGATAAGGATATCGGAATATAATGTGGTAACTCTGAAACTTTAAGAGTCAAAATCACGAAAGGTTTAAATTAAAAATAAATCGAAGAAGAAAAATTAATAATTTCGTTTTCGTTTTCTAGATATTCGTCGTTTTCTTACTTCGCGTAAAGACCTCATTAAATCTTTGTGAAAATTGTGTCACAGTTTACCCCTTTCACAACAATCGTGCCTTTCCCTTGATAAATTAGAACGTGCTCGTTAAATACCGCTTATTACGTTAGTGTAAAATTGAAGCGGAAAGTAGAGGACATATTTCGAGTCTGCTTCAAAAGAAAGATGAAGTAGATTAAAAAATTGAAGTCATATCTACTGAAACTACACTCTTTTGTGAAATTTTGTTTTAAATAGATGATAGGGATTGCATGTAAACCAAAAAATATTGCAAGATAGTTTTTTTAGCCTAGCACAATATACCTTTGAGTATCAGGTTACATAACATTGGATTATGTAACCTGATAGCGCTATTTCTGTTAGCTTATTGTTTATTATCTAATTTAAGATAAACCACTGTCACTGATATTCTATCTGCATTTGAAGATTTCAACGATGTTGTTGGCAAAATTACATATGAAAATTCGAGTGTATAAAGGTACATTTTATTACTAGTTTTCTTAAACTGGACTTGTTCAGAATATTTTTAAACGTCATTAAGGAACTGGCAAACGATTGGTAAAGCGGCGGCGAAAATTAGCTCAGTTAGAAAATACAGTAGCGATATTTGATACATCTGGTTTTCTGAAAAATCCCGTAAATGCGTCATTTTATATTATGCGTTATCACAATGGTCTTTATAACGCCCCTCACCCGCTATTGTATGTATACGCGAAACGTCGACGCCGGTGTCGCGTCGGTTGCGTCGTGAGGCTATGGTGCGTGGCAAAGCAACGTGAAGGCTACCAAACAAACAAGTCGCTCGCTTTTAGATACGTTTACGAACAGATATGAAATACATGTAGCCTCATTCCTGCTTACCTTCCTCCCTACCTACACGCAATTTCGTGAATATATTATCTACACTTATTAGTCACTGTCGAAAACAACAGCTGTAATAAGTTATAAAATGTGGGCATAACGTACGAAATGTATTAAATTTTGCGAAAACTAAACAAAGATGCTTTCGTGTAACATCAACTGTGTAATAAAATTTCGGTTTAAACCGTAACAACTGAAACGGTGGCTTCGTTTTGTAATTTTATCGTTTGACCATGTTTATGTAGGGTTGTCTTCCATGTCACAAACCTAGAAATTGCGTTCAAAAGTTAAATAAGGTAATTATTGTGATATACGAATAAGGTACAATTTTTGTATCTCAACAACCCTTAGCACAAAAGATACATGTACAATGTGACCTATTTCCGAACATCTGTTGTGTATTGCACATCAGACCTGTTTTACTACCATGGATGACCATATCCATAGGCCTACACTGATATCGTAAAAGCTACAATACAAGAATATTTAAAGTAGATCAAGATTTCAAATTGTTGGTCCTTATCGGCACGGCATACGTATTAGAGAGCAAATTAAAGTTATCCCCATGCAATCAAGGTTATTAATATCAAGTAACTGGCAGTTTACCGCCATCTACAGACATTAATTGCTATCATTAGCATTTCACAGTGTTTGATATGTACCTATAACTCTTAGTGTTGGGTGGATAGTTTTCTCTAGCCTCCTTTTAAAAATTGTCAGAATGGGTAATTGTGGAGAGACAGATGAAAAATAAGTAACGAAGGCAGAAGAGGAGTGATGAAATAGTACTGCCCCATCATTTGTCTAAATGATCCAAGGAATTTGTGGTAAACTTGGACTAAAGCAGAACTCGGAATCGGACAGGTGCCTTTTCGAATCGTAAACTATGGATCTAAGACTCTACTTATACGTATAAGTACTTCAAAATATAGAACCGTACACTAAATTACAGCCACTCTAAATTACTGACAGAACTGCAGTCAGCAGTTTGTAAATATCCGGAGATGGATAAGTATAGGATACCCTTTGCAATACATATTACATTATTTTTTATTAAAATTTTACTGTGTTGTGCTAATTATCTATCAGAAAGCACTCGTTAGTTTAACTGATAATTAATCAAGAGTGTTTTCTAATTATTTCATTATTTGTTTCAGCTAATACAAGTCATTATGCTCATTATGTGTTCAACACTTTGGACCATGACAAATCCGGAATAATAAATTTCGAGGTAAGATTTTACTTTTCAGGAAGCGATTTTCTTGTACACTCTTTTACTTGTATTAATTCTAATCAGTAGAATTTATAAATATTTTTTTATCATTATAAAAATATCCTTTATCCTTGTAATACAAAAAAAGGTATTATTTTTATTTTATACTCATTTTTTTTCGTCTTTCTTAGAGTCAAAAACCCACTTTATCCTTTAAGGATTAGGTACGTCGGTGGGTCCGTAACATCTTAAGCTGACTGTTTCCATTCGAATGCCTATGAATCAACCTCTGATTTCATCAAACAATTTACGTAACAGTAAGGTTGTCGGTTTTCTGAATTTTAAAATAAGCGATCGTCAAAAGTTTCGCTGCGGTTAATAAACTTCTTGAGCAGCATCAAACGCGATCGCTCGCGCCCGAGTGTCGAATATCACACAAAGCAATTCGGTCAATGGAACAAGCGAATGCAAAGCGGACTCGGAAGCTTGAAGCGCTTTTAGAAAAGTCAACCCGACATAAATTTAGCCCGCAAATCGTTCTATGTACATTTAGTTGATAGTATTCCAGAAACGGCAAATGGAGAACGCCATTAGTATTAAATTAGTTGCTTTTTACACAAAGCTAGTTGACTGGTTCCAGTTGTTAACTTGCCAACCATCCCGCTAATACGTGCAGTGCAGCGCTTTTAAGTATTTCCACTGTTATTATTTACCATCGCATTGTCATTAGTTTCCTTTCGTATTATTTCCTTTTTTTTCTTTCCGCTTTTAAAGCACCGCAAAACTCCTAATCTAGAAGAATGTATTATACTCTAGAAGGCGAAACGTACGCATTGTAAAATTATTAAGAGATTACGTTTACGCCACTGACATGGCCTGCACGAAAAAATCCAAAAAGTAAAGTAACAGAACATTGAAAAGTATAGAAAATACGATGTAGATAAGCTTCACCTGAGGATTGTAGGTGACAGCGTCTTGAGTATATGTAGTGAAGTAGGACGAATGTTAGATGTAAGTAATTGTATCTTCAAAGTGCTGGTCGCAGTTAAATTATTCTGAAACTATTCTCTACAATAAACTTCACTCTACACAATATACATGGAAAATAAACAGCAAAAAAATGTCAGTTATGTCACTTTTGTCTAGTAATTTATTTCTACTGCTCTGTAATGTTGACGAGTTTCAGTGTAACCTTACATTTTAAAGAAACGATTAAAATAAAGTTGATGAAATAATCCGACCAGTTGTAGGTGTGCGTGCCACTTCTTCTGTCATGCAGACGTGATGTCAGTTTTACGGAAGATTAAAATCGAGAGAGGAAATTACACCGTGCAACACCGGTTATGGCTTTTGACGCCATTTTTCATCAAGCTTAAAAAGTCATTCTCGTTCGCTCATGCGTTTACCGGTTTTCTTTGACATAAATCTTAATGTAAATCTTGTCGGTAGAAATAGGGATAATAAGGATTTTCAAACAGATAAATTATTCCTTTAAATCCTACCTTCCGATAAAAAGACGTTCTACGATTAATTTCGCTTTCCTACTGATTCGTATACATTAAATTTCTTGTTACCAATTATTAGTTCATTTCACGCTAGAATAGATGGCACAAAAAGCGAGATAATAAGTTATAGAAAAACCATTTTCCTCTCTCCTGTCGTGACACGGGGAACGGCGCAAGGTACTATCGACTAGATAGATCGAGTGCAGGAATAATGAACTCTTTCCGTGGAAAGAAAAAAAATATTCGGATACGGATGCAACCGTTTGTATTTGAGCCCTCAGGAATGATAGAAACCAAAAATTAGTTGAAATACTGAAGCGTATAGTATATGTCCATATTACCAAAATTTTTAAATACGACTACTAGCTCACTTTCACTTTTTTGCTCTCGCCCTTTTTGCATTCATTAACTGATTACTTTTCCTGTTTTGGGGAGTATATTACTGCATACAAAGTAGTTTCAGGTCATCTCTTACATACATCTGCAAAAGATACTTATTTTAATTTTATGGATTTTCGCCGTCTGCATAAATTTAGGTGCGGCAAATGGTAAATTCACTTAAAAGCCACGAGAAAACTGACAATGCATTAAGTTTTCATTGCGATCACCTGCTAATTGGTTTATATGAGATGCTTCGACGATAATTATTTGAATATTTGCATTGATTCAACTTTTATATAATTATACTAGATACTGACAAAGCTTTACAAACGCATATACTTGTCAAGCTAAAAAGAAAAGCCTTTGCTAGCGCTGAAAAGTTTCGATTATAGTCTGTTTTCGTTATGGTGTATAAATTATCTTAAAATAGTTGTCGGAATAATGGTTGAAACTTGCAATCTCTCTAATCTTCCGAGGAAATTGATTATCAAACACCAACGAAACTAAACTTCTGCTACTCAAAGTGCTTGGTGGCTTACTTAAGATATTTGCGGAATATTCTCTAGTTTGACACCGATATTTATACAAGATTTTCAAATATTATAAACTTTCCACAACAAATTTTGGACCAACTAAGAAAGCACATGATGGACACATAATTAGGGAATTTTTGAAAGAGTTAGATATGGTAGCAGAAGCTGGAAGCAGAAGGTCAAGGTGGACCAGTCACATCACTGTTATTTTTACTGAAAAGTTGTGAATACTGTGCTTCTCCCCAGGAGCGTAACTACCGTATCAATGGGGTATACGAGTTACACGGGCAATTGCCTTGAAGTTGACGTTATCTCTGTTGATAGATAGATGATACACACGACCTCGGGTGTCGCACCCCATACCAAACTTGATTGAGACCGGAAATTATTGTTCTGCGCACAGGCAGGCAAGTTTAATCTGTAAACATTGCCTTCCTTCTCCATAACCACATAACCCTACCCCCGGAAAAGTTTACTACGCCACTGCCCCTCACCTGATCTAGATGTGTTCGGTGTAACATCATGAACACTTCTATCTTCGATTATCTAAATCTTTATATAGCTTTCGATTCAGAGTTGTGAATGCTCTATTCCTTTGTTCTTATTCGATTCAAGAATACTCGCTGAGTTGACTCTCGAGTAATTATTTTACATTTTTCGGGATTCTAATCTCGATGCATCCTACGCTTCATCACATACCCGCTTACAGATTTCCACATCCTCTTAGGTTCTATGCAAAGGCAAACTTCTTTCGATTTTTGCGCCGTATCCGTTTCTCATAAAATGCCATTCGATTCTCGTAAGTTTTTATCCGAGGTCAGCTTTAAGTATAAAATTGAATTCAAATCGTCGAATCTTTTTAACATTTAAAAAGATATTCGAAAATGGATTTCAACGTAATAAAATAAGAAAGTATATACATATACAAATTTACATAAATACGTTCATACGTTTAAATTAAAGAATTTTACTATAGCATAGAATCGACCATGCAAGATTGAGCGATATGAAGGGATTTCACAGGAAAATGTCATTAAGTAAAACAATATGAGGAGCAATAAAATGGATTAAGTTAGTTAGTAATTGATGAAAACTGAAGAAAGAAATTTACTTTGCATCTACCACCTTTCTATTATTGAAATAAATTAGTTTCATGAAATTATATAATTGAAACTGAGGATTTCCTTCTGAAACGTGTGAAGTGATAAACATTGCACGATAATCGGTCTACGACAGCAGTCTTGCTTTTTTCTCAGTGTGCCTACAGTTACTAAGTAGATGTAAAAAAGCCTTGCTGATCTTAAAATTCAAAGTTCACAACAAACCAACAAAAAATTCGCAGAATTTAAATGCCATTGTCAATGAAGTGAAGGCTCAAAAAACGTGCCTGGAGAGTGTTTNTTCAAATGTTCCTAAGTTTTAAGGAGCTACAACAATTATTGTTGTTATCCGAGGAATATGTATAATAATTGTGAAATTTCTGTAAAGAGAAGAAATACTTAACATTATTTTTGAAACCTTATTTATTTGTAAGTTAAGTAAGTTATTCCATCCATACCTATGATTTCATAAAAGGTGTACTATTGAAGGTTTCAATAAAGGATCCCTATGTAAATATGTATATCCTCTTGCAATAAAATACTTTCTTGGCATTTGCCGCACTCAAATTGTTATATTTGGTTTTGCTTCTGAATAAGAAATGACGTAAAATTATTATACACAAACGCACATTATTTTAGAAACTTCTAAAATAGTTTCTACATCTGCTAATTTCTATTGTATATATGCGACATATTCTTCTGTAGGTACTTTACCTCGAAGCCTTTGCTTTCATGTCGTCGTTTTTAAAGCCAATGTTTCCTTTCTCTGCTGTGCTTATTGATTTACAATAATAGTTATAAAGTAACCGTTTTATTGTTTCCTAACCCATTTTCTGTTTTTATTTTCAGATTCGGAACTTGAAGACCTCGAAACACCTCCGCGAAGTCGCCCAGATAGTTTGGAAAGTTTATGTAAAAATACCAAATTTTCTCAACAAGAAATAAAACGTATTTACAGAGGATTTAAGGCAGAATGTCCGACAGGGGTTGTCAAAGAGGATACCTTCAAAGTGATATATTCCCAGTTTTTTCCACAAGGAGGTGAGTTATCTAAATTTTTGTTTGTGGAGCTCATCATTGGGTTACCACATCAGTTACGTAATGTATCACCAATAAGTTTAGATGGATCGTTACAATATTGCTTACAAATCTGAAATCAAATAGAAGACCGCTGCGTTGTCTGTGAGAAAACATGCTAAAGTTATTGCCGTAGAGCCTAAAGATAATCGTGTTCACAAAAATAAACTCATTTTTATGTATTTATTTGTACGGTATTTACTAAATGTATTTTGTCTTCCATTTGTGATCTGTTTTACTTCATTGTTAATTTAAATGGTTATTGTATTTCTATAGAGATACATACTGTAATATAAACCCTTGGTGTTTTCAAACTTTTACTCGACGTATTTGTTCTTCTGAGATTTACTGAAAAAAACATCGATGCAATCGCTTAATTTTCTTAATAACTACTTGCTATCTATTGACTAAGGACAGGATAA